CAGGCTTGTTGCTGCCAGGCTTGCTGCTACCAGGCTTGGCAACTGCTGTGTACCGCCGTGGCTTAGCTGCTATGCATGACCAGGTGAAGGCTTTGGCCATTCTTTGCAAACCTTTATCTTACCAGTTTCTGTTGCTGTGGACGAGTGTATGTACAGACAGCACAGGTCTGGCAGATCAACCTTGTGTGCTTTCTGGTGGGTTCATATCAAGTCGGTGGACGTTATCAGTGTCTCGAGGGTACATTATGTAATTTTGAAGGTGCCTTCTTATTGTCATGGTCTAGCTACCAGATTAGATAGAACAGACTATACAGTTCGGATGTACCCATATTGTTACGTACATCATTGTCAAGTATAAGGAAAATGTAGATATGTATCTGCAAGAGGTGGATATTCTACGTTCATATGAAGAGAATTTCGTTTTAGGTGTTAGACCAGAAGTAATAATTTTCTTCACATATTCCCCTCTTCAAATATAAGCATTGTCCATACACCTGCTGTAAATGTTCACCAAGCAGTAAATATGTATGAGAGTGTTAGTCGCATGTTGTGGTAGTGTGCCATACCTGGGACCAGTTTTTGACATGAACTGAGGTAGGGTAATCTATTAAAAAAAATTAACAAATTGGCCATTTCCCACCGAGCAGGGTGATCCGAAAAGAAAAAGCACTTTTTATCATCATTCACTCCATCACTGTCTTCCCAGAGGCACGTCTACACTACAGTTAAAAAAAAAAAAACTAAAACATATCAACACGCCTCCTTCAGAGTACAGGCACTGTACTTCCCACCTCCGGGACTCAAGTCTGGCTTGCCGGTTTATCTGAACCCCTTCATAACTGTTACTTTGCTCACACTCCAACAACATGTCAAGTCATAAAAGCCATTTGTCTCCACTCGCTCCTATCTAATACGCTTATGCACGCTTGTGGAAGTCGAAGCCCAAGCACACCCTCTTCTTCCAACCTTTCCTAGGCCGACCCCTAATCACCTACTTTCCACTACAGATTTATACGCTCTCCAAGTCATTCTATTTCATTCCAGCCTCTCTAAATGTCTGAACTACCTCAACAACCCCTCCTAAGCCCTCTGGATAATACTTTTTAGTAACCCCCCCCCTCCTAGTATGTAAACTACGGATTCTCTGCATTATATCCACAATGCACATTGCCCTCAAACATATCTCCACTGTTTCTAGGCTTCTCCTTGTTGCAGCATTCACCACCCATGCTTCACACCCATATAAGAGCGTTGGTATAGCTTTACTTTCATACATTTCCCTCTTTGCTTCCATAGATAACATTCTTTGTCTTCGCAGACTCCTCAGTGCACCACTCATCTTTTTCCCATCATCAGTTCTGTGATTTACCTCGTCTTTCATAGACCCATCTGCTGACAATTCCACTCCCAAATATGTGAATACATTCACTTCCTCCATACTCCCTCCCTCCAGTCTGATATCCAGTCTTTCATTACCTAAATTGTTTTATTTAATTTGTTAATAGCATCTCGCCCACTCTGTCATTTACTCTTACAGTTCATCATCACTCTTAACCTCTCTCTTTTTCTCTATACTTCTCCTTGTATCACTTAGACTACTTTGTAAAAACCTTTCATATGCTCTTTTTTTTCTCTCTTACTACTCTACCTCATCATACCACCAGTCGCTCTTCTTCCCTCCCGCACCCACTTTCCTGTAACCACAAACTTCTGCTGAGAACACTAACACTACATTCTTAAACCTACCCCATACTTCTTCAACCTCATAGCCTATACTCTCACTAGCCCATCTTTCTTCCAATAGTTGTTTATATTTTACCATAACCGCCTCCTTTAGTTTATAAACCTTATATTTTACCATAACCGCCTCCTTTAGTTTATAAACCTTCACCTCTCTTGCTGATTCCATTCTCATAGTATCCCGTCTACCCTTTACTCTCACTGTAGCTTTGTACAACTATAAAATGATCTGATACATCTGTGGCCCCTCTGTAAACATGCACATCATTACGCCCTATATCATGCATACTTATCTTTTTTTCTTCTTAAAATGTTTGGCAATAGAGTTGTGGATGAGTGGAACAAACTCCCAAGTACAGTTATTGAGGCTAAAACGTTGTGTAGTTTTAAAAATAGGTTAGATAAATACATGAGTGGGTGTGGGTGGGTGTGAGTTGGACCTGATTAGCTTGTGCTACTAGGTCAGTTGTCGTGTTCCTTCCTTAAGTGAATGTGACCTGCTCTGACTAGGTTGGGGCATTGGCTTAAGTCTTTAGGAGACTTGGACCTGCCTCGCATGGGCCAGTAGGCCTGCTGCAGTGTTCCTTCTTATGTTCTTATTACCTATTGTCAAACCCCTTTCTATACAAAGTTCAGTAAAAGACCCCCATTATCGTTTACACCTGGCACCCCAAATGTACCTACCACACCCTCTCTAACCGTTTCACCCACTCGGTTAACATCTCCCAAAATCTTCTGTACACTCCTCTCTTCTCTAGGTACATACACACTTATTATAACCCACTTTTTGCATCTGACCCTTATTTTAAATCCATGTATTCCTTGAATTTATACATTTATATTCCCTCTCCTCCTTGCATAACTGATCCTTCAACATTATTGCTACCCCTTAGCTCTAATTCTTTCAGATACTCCTGACTTAATTCCATTTATTTATTTCCGCTGAAACTACCCTACCCCCTTCAGCTTTATTTTACTTTGAGCTAAGATATCCAACTTCTTTCATTCGTAACGTTGGCAATCATCTCTTTCTTACCATCTGCACAACATGCACATTCAAACATCCCAACTTTATAAAGTTTTTCTTATTTTTAGTAATTTATACAGGAGAAGGGGTTACTAGCCCATTTCTCCCGGCAATGGGCTAGTAATCGCCTCTTAGACACGCATGGCTTACGGAGGAAAGATTCTTTTCCACTTCCACATGGAGATGAAAGGAAATAAAAAGAACAAGAACTGGTTAGAAAAATAGAAAAATTCATGTCGGTGTGTATACATATATGTGTACATGTATATGTAGTGTGCCTAAGTAGAAGTAGCCAGACGTACCTGTTTTCTTGCGTGTTTGGGACAGAAAAAGACACCAGCATTCCTTCGATTGTGTAAAACAATTACTGGTTTCCGTTTCGCACGCATTTGTCAGGATGGTAGTACTTCCCTAGGTGGTTGCTGCCTACCAACCTACTATTACAGGATGGTAATACCTCCCTGGGTGGTTGCTGCCTACCAATCTACTATTACAGGATGGTAATACCTCCCTGGGTGGCTGCTGTCTACCAACCTACTACCACAGGATGGTAGTACCTTCTTAGGTAGTTGCTGTCTACCAACCTACTACTACAGGATGGTAGTACCTCCCTAGGTGGTTGCTGTCTACCAGCCTACTACCACAGGATGGTAGTACCTCCCTGGGTGGTTGCTGTCTACCAAGCTACTACCACAGGATGGTTCCACCTCCCTGGGTGGTTGCTGTCTACCAGCCTACTACCACAGGATGGTAGTACCTCCCTAGGTGGTTGCTGCCTACCAGCCTACTACCACAGGATGGTAGTAACTCCCTGGGTGGTTGCTGTCTACCAGCCTACTACCACAGGATGGTAGTACCTCCCTAGGTGGTTGCTGTCTACCAGCCTACTACCACAGGATGGTAGTAACTCCCTGGGTGGTTGCTGCCTACCAGCCTACTACCACAGGATGGTAGTACCTCCCTGGGTGGTTGCTGCCTACCAGCCTACTACCACAGGATGGTAGTACCTCCCTGGGTGGTTGCTGCCTACCAGCCTACTACCACAGGATGGTAGTACCTCCCTGGGTGGTTGCTGCCTACCAGCCTACTACCACAGGATGGTAGTACCTCCCTGGGTGGTTGCTGCCTACCAGCCTACTACCACAGGATGGTAGTACCTCCCTGGGTGGTTGCTGCTACAGCCTACTACCACAGGATGGTAGTACCTCCCTGGGTGGTTGCTGTCTACGAGCCTACTACCACAGGATGGTAGTACCTCCCTAGGTGGTTGCTGCCTACCAGCCTACTACCACAGGATGGTAGTACCTCCCTGGGTGGTTGCTGCCTACCAGCCTACTACCACAGGATGGTAGTACCTCCCTGGGTGGTTGCTGCCTACCAGCCTACTACCACAGGATGGTAGTACCTCCCTGGGTGGTTGCTGCCTACCAGCCTACTACCACAGGATGGTAGTACCTCCCTGGGTGGTTGCTGTCTACCAACCTACTACCACAGGATGGTAGTACCTCCCTGGGTGGTTGCTGTCTACCAACCTACTACCTATATGGCATGTAATATTATACTTTGTTATAATATAACTTGCACACTCTAGCTTAACGTATTGTCACAAAACATAAATGGCAAGGAACTTAATTGAATCAATTTAATTGACCCCTAATCAAACTGTTCAGTTTTCATGAAACTGAATGCAGCATAATCGTAACGTAAATTAATCCTTGCAGAACTGTCGACTAAAGGCTAAAAAAACAAAAATGTAATGTGTAGCAAGAAGGAAGAGAATGCTTTATTAAGTTGGTGAGGGCTGACACCTCTCGCCACACTCGAGGTGACCTTGCAGTATCAGTGGTGGGACGAACTGAAGGGTGCATAAATGTAGCGGTGCTGAAGGTCGGCATGAGGAGGAAAGGGGTAAGAATGATTATATTATATGTACATGGAACGCTCAACCTGTGTGGGTTTAGCTCAAGGATTGCAGGTAGCTCAATCCTCTGTTTGCTAATAGGAAGACAAAAGCTACTCTCGCGAAGGGAAAGAACTTCAGTGGAAACGAGGTTCAAGACTAGCTCGTTACCGACAGTCTTACTTAAGACAGTCTTAGTGCTTTATCTGCAATTTAATCTTTGGTTACCATAACCCAACAATGCCAAGCAGTCTAACTTATTTTCTTTGGGATCTTTCCCTAGGGTATGACTCACAGTAGTTGACTAATATCCGGTTACCTATTGACTGCTAGGTAAACAGGGGCAGCAGATAAAGGAGACTTGCCTATACATCATGGCTCTCCTGGAAATCGAACTTGGGTCCTTTGGGTTGGGAGCGGAACGCTGTACAGAGGTGTTGCATCATCACAGTGTCTTGTGTGCCAAGTAAGTAAAATTCCATGTTGATGTAAAATGCAAATCACACACATCCAATACCGAGTGAAAATTAAAGCGGTGCTGTCACTTATTTTTTTTTTACCCCCGTCCTGTCTTCCCATACCTCCTCAACCTCTTTTTATCCTTCCCATCATTCTTGCTAACAACCCCCCCCCCCTAAGCTGGGCTGTGGTCAAAGTTCGTTCGCTGGAGGTATAGCAATAGTCTGGTGTAGATAAGGCGCAGTTGCTAAGTGGTCTGTGTACCAGAAGGGAAGACCAGGGGGTTAGTGGGTTTGATGGGCCTGTAGGAGTACTCTCAAATAATTCTCTCGCTCTCTCTCTCTTGCCAGAATGTTTTGTTACATCATCCTGGCGCTGTACACCTGCATTGGGTTTATTGCTTTATTTATACTGGCACTGAGGCAGTGGCGCTAAACGGCGACCTCGAACTTTGCTCCTCGGGTGTTGTGGAGTGTAGACAATGCTTTACAACAGCAGAGTTTGAAAATAGTAGTAGTTTTATCTCATATCTGGCGGGGGAGGAAGGTCATTAGACACTGTGAGGGGGGATTGGCTAGCGGGTGCAAGAGGTGGGTTGTGATTGGCCGAGGTGGAGGTGTGTCGCGGGGGCCGCCATCTGATCAATGACATCATCTGGTCTCTACGCACAAGGGAGGGGAACTTTCCACCACCTTAAATAACACCGCAGGGATCCTGCGCTACCCTCCAATATGTTGCACTTTGACCGAGCGAACTCTCCCTTCTGTCTTATGATTACAGCGACTTGGTATCAGGGAGGGGGAGGGAGGGAACAATGAACATGGAGTCTTCCTAATGGTGGGGTGATGACGCACGTAAGGAGGGGTTGTGGGAGGGGGCGGCTCTATGGAGGAGACCGCACCAGCCACTCAGTGTCTTGCGTGTGGTCCATGTATTAGGTGTGTTGCGCTTCTCTACCTCAGCTGTCCCCGTCACACTACGTCCTGGATAGCACCATCTTCTTCCCTTGTTGCTCCCTGGGTTCACTAACTTGTGATACTATGCGAGACTTGGCATTCCCCGCCATCCCTCCGCCTCTGTTGACTCTGAAAATTGTACAGCACTTACGATTGTTGACTTTAATGTGCATCTTGTTAGATTTATAAGTTTGCCAAATTATCAACATTTATCAAGAGTTGTCCTAGACGCAAGTTTTCACCATAATTGAAGGATATATTTTTAGATAACCAGGTAAGTTGATTGTAAATGTTTCACTTTAACTTTCCACTTAATAATTAACGTCCCTCAAAGTTGCCTATTTATTATGTCTTTGCTAGTAGGCCTCTTTACTGACTGGATAAACGTTTTGTGGAGCTTATAAATGGCAGGATAGCTTTAAACGTTTTATGCCATAAAACGTTTAAAGCTATCCTGCCATTTATAAGCTCCAAGTGACTGGATAACCTTATGTTTTATGGGGTTTATAATTGAGCGGATAGCCTTAATGTTCTACGGGTTTACACTAAACAGCGATGCTACTCGTCTAGATGAAGTGTAAGCTTACAAGTTTGATGCACCGTGATGAATCTCATGAATGTAACTAGCGCATTTAGCTGTATGAAAGTATTAGTAAAGATTAAATATCAATCCTGCAACATTGTACCCACACCAACAACGTTCTTGCAGCATTGTACCCACACTTGATTTGTACTCGTTGGAACGCAGGAGGGAGAGATATATCATAATCTACACTTGGAAAATCTTGGAAGGAATGGTCCCAAATCTGCACACAGAAATCGCTCCCTACGAAAGTAAAAGACTGGGCAGGCGATGCAAAATGCCCCCAATGAAAAGTAGGGGCGCCATTGGTACACTAAGGGAAAACACCATAAGTGTCCGGGGCCCCAAGACTGTTCAACAGCCTCCCATCAAGCATTAGGGGAATTGCCAATAAACCCCTGGCTGCCTTCAAGAGAGAGCTGGACAGATACCTAAAGTCAGTGCCGGATCAGCCGGGCTGTGGCTCGTACGTTGGACTGCGTGCGGCCAGCAGTAACAGCCTAGTTGATCAGGCCCTGATCCATCGGGAGGCCTGGTCATGGACCGGGCCGCGGGGGCGTTGATCCCCGGAATAACTTCCAGGTAACACCAGTCTTCAAGCTGGCACTGGACAAGCACCTAAAGTCGGTACCTGACCATCCAGGCTGTGGCTGGTACGTTGGATTGCGTGCAGCCAGCAGTAACAGCCTGGTTGATCAGGCTCTGATCCACCAGGAGGCCTGGTCACAGACCGGGCCGCGGGGGCGTTGACCCCCGGAACTCTCTCCAGGTAAACACCAACAACGTTCTTGCAACATTGTACCCACACCAACAACGTTTCTGCTGCATTGTACCCACACCAACAATCCTGCAACGTTGTATCCACACCATCAGTGCTCCTGCAGCATTGTACCCACACTATCAACGCTCCTTCAACATTGTACCCACACCAGCAACACACCTGCAGATTGCACCCACACCAACAACACTCCAGCAACATTGCACCCACACCAACAACACTCCAGCAACATTGCACCCACACCAACAACACTCCAGCAACATTGCACCCACACCAACAACACTCCAGCAACATTGCACCCACACCAACAACACTCCAGCAACATTGCACCCACACCAACAACACTCCAGCAACATTGCACCCACACCAACAACACTCCAGCAACATTGCACCCACACCAACAACACTCCAGCAACATTGCACCCACACCAACAACACTCCTGCAACATTGCTATAGACAAGCATCAGCCAAAACATTTCAACTGTTACAAAAGCTGATGTTTCTGCTTCAAGTGCCTGGTCCATACAAAATGTGTACCTCCTGTCAGTGTCATCGGTTACCACGAAACCAATCTAACGGACGACCCAAGAGACAAGTTGCAGATCTTCTGGAAAGGTTCAAAGCATGCTGAAAGGATAATGAACGACACCAAAAGTTTGACGTGCATTATGTTTGTTGTCACTGCTGCCGGTCAAGTTCTAGATCCGTATGTTGTTTAGAAAGTCTATTATCCAAGAGTCTTCCAGACTCTTGGATAATGGACCAGTAGGTGCACTGTACTATCCCACAAGCGCTGGGTGATTCGATTAGGATGTATTTGTTGACTGGTTAGCAAGAGTAATTTCTGACGAAACTGAAGTCTTTATAGGAGATAACCTAGTTTCTCACATAAGCTACACAGTTGTGGAACAGTGCAAGCAGGACATCAGAATATTTTCCACCCAACTTGATGCACTACCTGGAACTCTTGGATATTTCCGTGTATGGCCCTCTTAAACATGATTGTAGCAAGTTATTGATTGGAAGGAGGATGAAGGAAAGCATTCATAATTTTATAAAAATGGTCACTGCCAAGATTACAACTGACTCTCATAATAAAAACGAATGACATTGGAGGCCTTAGGCGAAATTTGGATTCAGAAGCGACGGACACTGAATCTGTTTGGGGACAGTTTCTGAAGGGAAGTGAAAAACTAATCTTGCGAGTAATTTACAGGCCCTCCAACCCTGATAGGGAACCCGGTAAACTTCTATGGGATGAAATTCATAAGGCATCTAGATAAGAAAATGTTGTGTTAATGGGAGATTTTAACTAAAGACAAAATGACTGGAGTAATTTAACAGGATATATCGAGTCTAGCGACTTACTTGATACGATCCAGGATTGCTTTCTGAACAGTTTGTGACAGAACCTACTGAATTTGCACTTTAGAAAGGCGTAGAATTAGGGAGATATGATTAAGGTGTATATATGGAAACCAGGACTCGCAGTAATGGGTTCAAGTCGGGAAAATTTAGATTTAGAAAGGTTATAGGAAAGCACTGGTTTGATGGAACAAACTCCCGAGTCGGGTCATTGAAGCTAAAACCTTGAATAGCTTTAAGAATAGGTTAGACAAGTACATGACTGGGTGTGGGTGGGTGTGAATTGGACCTGCCTAGCATGGACGAGTAGGCCTGCTGCAATGCTACTTCTTTCTTGTGTCCTTCGACCATAAACATTCCCAAGAGAAAAATGAGGTAAGAACCCGAAGGTCAAGTGGCATCTGCAAGTTTGGTTAGCACCATTCTTCTCGATTACCTAAAAGAGAAAAGGGAAACGAGCATAAGGCAAAGAGCTAGTGGCAAGGCAGTTAAGGTACCCGCAGAAAGAAGCATCAATCTTGTAGATCTACCGGCATGAGGAAGTAGCACCTCATCAGGGTAAGACCCAGCATCTCAGCATTTGGCACAAGACCAAAGACCGGTGCCTGAAGAGGTATGTTCCGTGACAATACCAGCAGTTCTTCATCGGACTTGGATAATCTTGGTGTCGAAATGCTTAATGAACCTAGATCCCAGACCTAACGTAGGAAGCAACTGCAGTATACCACATAGCAAAGGATGACTACGTTCTTCTTAAATTTGGGAGTCTCAAAACTGTACATATCACTACGTTGGTAAGTCATGGAGAATGCTGAAATAGAGAGATACCTAAGGGCGTAGACGCCTCTCAAACTCTGCCATTTAAAGTTCCAATAATTTAATTAATGTAAAGCACTAAACCCACGTGGGTCATTCGGTGCAAGACGTGGTAGAGGCTTGATCCTCCGTCTGCTGAGCACCAGACGCGCGTTTTCTATTAGTATCCACCCAGAAGTTCCCCTTCTATGACACTTACAAACACAATTTAGTTATGAGGCTGAAACTGAAGGACATTTATAAAAAAAAACATTTCAGGCAAACATTTCAGTATCCTTGTTATCCGGTAGAGCAAGAAGAATAAATATGGTAGCAATGCTGTAGTACGGGTAAATAGTCTTTATATTAATAATAAAGTATACATATCAATAATGTTTTCTTAATTACACATGTTAGTACCAGTACTTAGTGTCCAAGTAGTAGTTTATTTTTAAAATAGCGAGGTCTCAGATGCCTCACACCAGAGGCATCTGAAACCAATTTTTTGTTTTGATATTCAAGCAGTATA